GAAAGGAACAGTACAACTGTATGTCATCAGCATACAGATGGTAGGACACATTACTGTAACATTTTAAAATACCTCCTAAAGGGTACAGGTACAATAAAAAGAGGATTGGACCMAAAACTGAACCTTGGKGTACCCCACAAGACAGCGGTTTAAYACTAGAGGTTTAACAATCCAATTCAGCTAATGATGAGTAGTTCTTAAAATCAAATTGCTAAGCTATGACTTTTAATTACAGAAAAWTTTGATTTGCCAAATTGGATGTTTATTTTTTTCATGACCTTGGTAATATTGTTCTATATTTAACTCAATAATGATCACGTCAGGAGGAAATCAGTATAGTTCAACAGAATGTCCATAAAGACGTCTTTAGGCTGCTTCTGACTGCCCTGAAGTCCCTAATGGAGCTGGCCACATGCTGCAGAGATGACAGCTTTTAACAATAAAACAAGCTTCACAGAATCAGATAATGTAAGTGTCATAGTGTGTGTTTTTTGGTGATCCTTTGTTTGCACTTGGGATGTGCAATATATTATCGTGTGTGATATACCATCAAAGACATTCACCATGGTCAAAATTTATCATCTTGCGATAAAAACGATAAAATTCCCACCCCGTGCTGCCAGGCTTTACGCCTCCCTGCCAGGTTAGGCTTCATTTTTAACTTAGAGAGGACGTCGATGCACAGAGCGTGCGCTCAATTAGTAAAGCTAAAAAGCTATCAAAATGACTCTCAGCATGCAAAAAAGCAGTCATAGTCATCTAAAAACTCTTTAGAGTTCAACAATATGTTAAAAAAAACAACATGATGGGGCAGCTTCAACTTGCTGGACCCACTCCCCCTGCCAGGCTGCGCGGCTCGTCTCCACTCACACAACTAGCCCCTCCCTCCCCTGAACATTAACCCTATAGGGAACAGATATTATAGCTTTACCTCCCTGAGCAGCAAAACTCATTATTTTCAATGATTAGTAAAAAGTCTTTTTTATGGTTTTATTTTTTATTATGTTACTGATATTTTACAAGAGTTAGAGTTCTACTGAGGTTTTACAAAGACAATTATTAGTGCAAAAAGGATGGGATTTAAAGATTTATCATGTCAACCATAGTCCATTATTACTGATAATTTTTTTCTGTTTACACCATTTAAATTAACGTCAAATTTGTTCTCATATTTCAGTCTTGTTTGATGAGTGTCAGTTTGGTAACACAGGTGTCCTACTTGAACTCATTGTAATTTAATGGCTTCTAGCATTTTAGAGCTCTCAAGACAGACTGTAGTGAAAGATTTATAAAACAAAAAAAATCAGGCTGATTTTATATATATATATACTCACCGGCCACTTTATTAGGTACACC